TGCATTCGTGCGTTCATACCTACATATATTCATATACGCATGCACATATATAAACATATGCATACGTAGATGCATTGATATATAGTTATTTACTTGCACATATATACATATATTCTATGTACATGCATACACACATGCACATTCATAAAGGTGTACATATACGTATAGACACGTGCATGGATAGATGTATATTTATACGTTATGGTTGTACGAAAAGTGTGCGTTTTTTTCCTCAAGTTCATAATTTTTGCAAATTTTGTTCAACAGACAGCTTTCACACGGAGAATGTCATAAGTGTAGAAGACCCGTTTAGTCATCTGTGGTAAACGGATGATTTCTGCATGTTCGTTCCCTCGGATTATGGTCTCCGACTTCCACTGTGTTGCTTTCTTTTCCATTTTGTTATCGAAAAAAATTTGATATTCTTCGTGTTAAAAATTCACTATACATGTTGTTTTCGTCCTTTCGCTGTTTTTTACTGAAGCATGCGAACGTTCATTCTTTGTTTCTCATGCAGTTTGTGCGGAATGAGTTTTAAGCACTTGTGCGAATAGTCACTCCTTATTTTATATCTAGCTATACTCTTTTACGTTGTTACTTTGTTTCTCTTGTTATCATCACTTACTTTCGATGTTATTTGTTTCGATGCTTATTCCTTCAGTACAAGGAGATAGCAGAATCAAGCACGGTCTTCAGAGATAATGCTTGCCATCATCTGCGACCTTGGGTTGGTGGTGAAAAAAATGGCAGCTGTTTCGCTTTTCTTTCTGTGGCTATTTGCAAAACGTACCCGTACGCGCAGCTGTGATTTCACGGTCTGGAAAAGCAGCGATTGCACACCAGGTGTTTCTCAGATATCTGAGCTGTGGGCTCTTCAAAATGTGGGAGCTCAGCGTCAGATAACTTCAGTTGTTCATATGCGGAGTCATTTTTTAATCCCTGGCGCTTGGCATGACTCATGACCCTGATGACATTGAGTGAGAATGGCGACGAAAACTGACTGAAACACAACTCTTCAGATTCAGCTCTGCTTTACTATCAGCAGCTCTGGACAGTTTGTGCAGAACACCAATAGCCATGTTAATTTCATGGTCGATCACTGCCGATCACATTTTGCAATTTTTTTTAGCTTTTTGGCAATGCAGTTTGGGCACAGACCGTTATTTTTTTCAGTGTTCCATTGTGTGATCGCCGCTTTGAGCTGGATGGCGGTTATTCGCATCAGCCATTTGATTTATCTATTAATGACCTTCTTTAAGTTAGGTTCGATGTCATTGTCACAATTCTGAGTTTCTGATTTGAATTCTATTTGATGCTTGAGCGACGAGAAGAAAGTGATAACATTCTTCTGAATTCAATTTTATTTTAGACTACACACGCAGCCTTACCGAATTCCTTATTCAACTTAGATCTGTTTGACCGTAGAATTTCTGAGGCAGACGCCTATCTGCAGATGATGATCGACGGTGTCAAGGTAAGCAGACAGTTGCTGTAGTGGTTCACACTTTTCTAACTAACAATCAACCTTAGAAAATCAAAGCATTCTGCGAAACTACCGAACCCAAAGACCAGACGGAAGCCGGTTCCGATGTGGTGGTCATCACGCACGCCCTGCTCGAATCTTTCAAGCATTTGATTGTGCTTCTGCAGCTTGCTAAAGTATGTTTGTACAATCGCACATGCGAGATGATTCAATCGACTGCATGTTGTTCTTTTCATAAACTCATAATGTAGGGCATTGTCGAATGTTCTAAAGCGCATTAACATTTTAATGCGCTGAACAGATTTCTTTATAGTCATGTAAGTGGCGTTTTGTCATCTTCAAGAGGATTTAGATCATTTCAAATGTTGTGCCTCTATCTTCCGTTTCTTGGTCTTAACTCACTGAAACCAAACCAATATCGATAATTTTTGATTCTACTTTTAAAGGATCATATAAACCATTGGAATTGAGGTTCTGCATCTTCGTCAAGGATTATTCCTGGAATCATCAGATTTGGAGTCCCTGAATCGCACTGTGTATCGAAGTGCCCAATTTTCCCTAATCATTATGGA